GCCGCACATTTTCATTGCACATGGGTTCATCGCCTCCGAGACGGCAATCAAGCCGCGGACTTCTTATCCAAACGCGCGCCAGACCTCGCACGGGATTTCTCGTCTCCCCCTACCAAACACAACACGCCACTCCCCCCACGCGATCTCGCCACCCTATACGATTTTCTCGACGGCGACCTCGCCTTCAACCCCGGTTGATCCTCACACTTAAAGACGCTTTGCCTGTATAAGCTCCTTAATACACCTCACCTCAAACACGAGGGGATTCTACAAGGAGAGGTATCATGGATATTGGATTGTGATTGGTGGAAACCGACCAATCAGTGTTCGTACAAACACTCCATACTGTAAACAGTTGAGGTTTATGACTCCGGCGTAGTAAATACGTAGAATTGTTTGATTGGCCCAATTTCAGACCCCAACGGATACCATTGGTCGCAATGCTACGAATTGGAGTTTTTTCGTACTGGATACTGGATATTGGTGTGAGGGTAAATACTTATATAAACATATGATGAAATAAATAAATTTGGGATAACGTTTAATCGAGAGAATGTTGTTCTTTGCCTTTTGTGTCATTGCCCGACAGAATTCTGTAAGCAAGTACTATAATTATTAAACATGATTGATCAACACGCAAAAAGAGTATATAATGCAACTACAACCGTAAAATACCAATGAACAGTAAGACCACTCTTTTTGTGCCATTGCGCAAAACGACCAATTCTCAGCCATCAATAGGAATTTTGAGCTTTTGAAACTCAATGAACAGAAAGGTCATGTATGTCTTTGAGGGAAACACACCACGATATTTTCTTATGGTAAGAAGAGAAAAAGTAAGGGTGGGTCTGGATCACACCCCAAATTCCGCCCAATTAATATTTCGAAAATTTGGTTCAAAAGAATTTGGTTGTCACCTATTTTTTACTGTCTAGATCAAACTGAATTCGAAAGGAACTCGACGATTCTCAGTCTTGCGAACTTTCAGAAAAAAGTCCCCTGAACCTCCTTATAATTTTTTTGACGAAAAACGCGAAATTTGACGAAATATTGAATTCTCTGAATTTTGTATCAAGACAGAAAAACAACCATTTTTTGGCGATTTCTTAGAAAAGCAGCAAAAACTGGTGTTTTCTGACATTTTTTGCAGCAGCCAGACTCAACCAAAACGTTTTAATGTTAAAAAACGTAATATTTTTGGTATCCCCAGGATAAGTAATGATGATCAACTCATAATATATCATGTGTAATTTTTAGATATACGTTCAACAATTGCACTTGTAATTTACTATGTCTGCTTGAAATAGTTACATAACAGAGGTAGTATTGGATTACCTGATATATTAATAGTTTAACCATTACGCTGGGCACACGCTATGGTGTCAAGCACCAAAGGCTGGAGCTGAAACTGGACATTTGGATTGGCGAAACCAAGAGGGAGTGGAACATGCGAAGGGAGAGCAAGAAGCCGTCGCGAGTCCATCGTCACCACCATGGCGTCATTGATCTCAATGGGGGCGACATCCTCCGGCTCCACCCCCACGATGCCTCCTGGGGGCTCGACAGAGTGGAGCTTGTACTGGCACATTTCAAAGTGTGGAGAGATATAGATGCACAAGATGTACGCGACGCCAGGGAATGTTGCCCAGAGAATGGGCGCCCAGCCGCGAGAGACACCGACATCGATCTTCAACGTGTGGAATTCACCCCAGGTGAGGTTTGCAGGACGGACTGCGCCGATATTTCGGGCCGGCCCAAAGCTCTCGTCTGGTTCAATATGTTCTAGGGCATCAACAAAAGTCGCTCCGCGTGGTTCGAGGTTCATGCCGAAGGTTCCAGTGCGACCGCGATTGCCACTACTAGATTGCAGCTCATGTCTTCGTGGATCATTCCTGGTAGTTCGACGACTTAGTTCGAGTTCGACGCACTTAACTCTACTAATATTTTTTGGTATCCCCAGGATAAGTAATGATGATCAACTCATAATATATGATTTGTAATTTTTTAGATATACGTTCAATAATTACACTTGAAATTTGTACTACATCTGCTTGCAATAGTTACATAACAGAGGTAGTATTGGATTTGGTTAAAACGCTGGTCCATATGTGGGATTTGTCATGAAAAGTTGCATCACAAATAGGCATTGATGTAAACAGTCAATCGTGCAGACACATCATGTTCAAGGGTTATTACGCTACACTTGATGGCTTTCTATGGCTACCAGAACAATTGAGCATCGTTGCATACACCCCAAACACCAAATATTGCACGAAATTCTCAGCGCCAACCACAAATTTCTGGAATGCCATCACACAGTAAAATGAAAAATTGGGTCTAACTGCTTTTTCTGCGATCTATCACTCAACTAAATATACCAACTAAATATACCAAAGTAGAAAACCAGACCCTAAACCCCTTTTACCCCCGAATCTACTACTGATTTCCTTCCCACTTAACTCTACTAATTCTGAATCAACACTAATTCTCAATCCGAACTAATTACGGGCAACGGTGTACCTTTGTGAAATTGGAGCGACAGGGAAAAATTGCTACTATTACATGTAGTACAACACTTGCACAGTTCCATTTCTTCTAGAGCATGAGCGTTGCGTACGGCGTCGAAGTCGAGGCCACGGAGATACCTGCTCCAGTCCGCCGCATCAACAACGCCCTGCACTGCATGAACATGACGCACGTGCAGACGGCGCTCTTCACGACGCATTTGGATGTCGGTGTCAAGGTATGCGATGCGACCAAGTCCGATTGGAATCAATTCGTCAACTCAGAGTACCAGGAGCTCGTATCCCGAGCTATGATGTGGCGGGATGGGGCTATCTACATCGTCGAACTACCTTCAGGGATCCATGAAGTCATGAACCGTAGAGTATGTTTCGCGATCGCGGCCGCAAGTGGAACCTTCGGCATGAACCTCGAACCACACGGAGCGACTTTTGTCGATGCCCTAGAACATATTGAACCAGACGAGAGCTTTGGGCCGGCCCCAAATATCGGCGCAGTCCGTCCTGCAAACCTCACCTGGAATGAGTTCCACACTTTGAAGATCGAGGTCGGTGTCTCTCGCGGCTGGGCGCTTTTGGATCCTAAAGCCATTCTCTGGGCAACATTCCCTGGCGTCGCGTACATCTTGTGCATCTACATCTCTCCACACTTTGAAACGTGCCAGTACAAGCTCCACTCTGTCGAGCCCCCAGGAGGCATCGTGGGGGTGGCGCCGCAGGATGTCGCCCCCATTGACATCAACGACGCGACGGTGGTGACGATGGACTCGCGACGGCTGCTTGCTCTCCCTCCGCATGTTCCACTCCCTCTTGGTTTCGCCAATCCAAATGTCCAGTTTCAGCTCCAGCCTTTGGTGCTTGACACCATAGCGAGTGCCCAGCGTATTGGTTAAACTATTAATACTAAAGTCCGACTCACGTATACAACCGACATACTTCGAAGTACTCCTATTAATGTAGGTATATCGTGTTATTACAATAAACATTAGTGATTGAGACGATGTAGATTATTATTAATTGTGTGATATTATGAAATTCTAAGAGGACCGATAAAAACAAATACTATTATACTAACCAACGAAAAAGACCAATTTAACTCTAAATACATATAAACAAATTTATGTGGAACCCAATAAGCCAATCAAATCATCAAAAACCCTAAATTACAGGTGTTGAAGCTGCATGAAGTTGGTACTGGGGCTCGATGGAGCCGGCAAGACGATGCTGCTTCGACAGCTTAGCCACATGTGCAAGGACGAATTCCACAACCCAAGCTCGGCTCCGTCTTTGAGAAGGTCCGCATCCGCCCAGTGGTTCCGAAATATTTATTCTGTACTTATTTTTTCGAACTTGAGGAATGCAATATTTACTTTTCCACCAGTGTAGTACGAGTTACTTACGAAGTACCTATTTTTTTTTAGTAGACGAATAAATAACATATTCTTTTTGCGGCGCTAAATAAATAACCTATTCAAATAATTCATGAGAATACCGTTTATTCAACATGTTCCTAACTACTCCGGAGTACATACCAGTTCATAGCTTTAGCAAGTTTGGACAGTCCAGAGCTAGCTACTACAGTATATTCACTTTCAAGAACATTTGTGGTCAAATTTCTGCGGCGTTATTGATCGGTCAAAGCTAGCTTCGCCCACGAGAAGAACCGCTCGCACATATTCGACGTGGGTCGCAGGAACCGACAATCCAGGTACTTGAACTCGGCCATCGAGTTCCAGTGAGAAGCATCAAATTGAAATTGGGAAGTGTATTCACAGTCAGGATGGCATTTCATAACATGAGAACACAAGTTCGTGTACCCACTCGACTTTTGAGAGCGCTGTTGCCCACACTTACACTTCCACACAGTTGGGTCGTCGGACAGTTGGAAAAAGACCTCGACGAGCGCCTTCCCACTAAGGGGCTTGGTTGGGGTGTAGGGTTTTCACGCTTGCTTTTTGGGGTATTTACTCGTGTCGCGTATTTTGAACAATTTTTGGGGGGTTAACGCGTGCTTGGGGTTTTCACGCTTGCTGGGGTAATTGTGCGTGCTTTTATCGACCGACTAACATGAAAGTCGTGGTGCTGATCCGGAGCATAATTATTATGACAATGCATGTGTATAATACTGCAGCACTAGTATCACAGGCATGACATACTCTATCACGATGAATCCAGGACCAATTCCAGTCATTCTTCGGCTGGTCCCACCACCGAGAGATGTACTCAGAGGTGGAACCAGCCACGTTCACGCAGACATGGACTCGCCATCTCTCGGACGTGCCGACGACATCACGTCGCGCTACCACTACATGCATGACCTGCACTGTCTCAGCCAATAATGGTCCAATTTCACTAATTCTTCGGCTGGTCCCACCGCTGAGTAATACCCTCACAGGTGGGACTAGCCTCGTTCATGCAGACATGGGCTCGCCCCACCACTGGCGTGCTACACGACATGCAGCGGCCATCACTACAGCGACACGACCAGCTCTATCTCGACCAATTATGGTCCAATTTCACTCACTGGTCGAGGTAGAGCAAGAACGTAGCTGAGGTGCAGATCTGCTTCCAACTGCCCTAGAACAATACCCTCTGCCGACCCGACACTCCGGCCACCGCGACTTCCCCCGGAACCCAGGATACTACCTTCAGCGGCTTAAGCATACTTATACCCTGGGGCCGACAAAAAATTGGTTTTCTTCAAGTAGTTAAGTCCGCTAGCTGCTAACGCAGCTAGTACGCGGCCGAGGCCATTAAGTACCCACTGAGCGATTTTAACTTTACAGCGTAATATCAATATCACTATCAATACCCGCTGCCCTCGAACAATACCCGGTACGTACCGGTACAACATCAATGATACCTGCATGGTAGTATAGTCCACTTGTAATAGTGGACTCCACTACGACGACTGCATGACGCGAGATGCACGTGTGACAAGAAAATCACTGCAATTAACCCTTCGTGAGGGACATCAGCATCATCCCTCGGGCCATATTCTGTTTGCACTTCTTCTACTTCGCACGAGATCCACAGGGCGACCGCAAGGACATCCACTACGGTGCGCGCACCGTAGTCCGATGGGCTTATCATGTACGGGTTGCACTGTACATGTTGAGCCCATCGGACCATAGCGCATGCAACCATCGAGCGTGTCTCAGCGGTAGCCCAGTGGATTTCGTTCGTGTTGAGCCACCCGTTGTCCATAACAACGCTGACATTGATGATTTCGTAGGTACAGTATGCAACGTTGTCGATGGAGCTGACGATAGCACCCTAAACAGCGGATCACTTCCAGCGCGTGTACCCCTGAACGTATTCACGCTCCATTTGTTGGTGGCCCTAGTGCTGCACGTTGGACCAATGCTTGCGCCACTAAGGCCGCCGACGAATTGGCGAGTGCTATGATGACCTCCTTAGTCAAAGTCTGCCCAATAGGAAGTGTACTGTACATTCACCACTCAGGAATATTATGATTGCCTCATAGTAGTATATGTCGCTTCGATTGTAGCGATGTACACAATCTATAGATTACACCCTCGATAGCCTATCTGAACACAATATGAACAACAATTGGCCTGCAGGTAGCAATGAGATACTGTGGAGTTGGAGGGCGTGTTCACATGGGCAGTCGAGGATGTAAATCATGTAGGTAACGTTAGTGCTTATTGCTACAATTTCAGCCACATATACTATGAGGCGATCATAATATTCTGAGTGGTCACTGCAGCCTCAGCTTCCTCATACTAGTATACCTCACCACTCGATTCCAAATTGATAGCACATTTCCATATCTTGTTGTCGTGTCCCTCAATATTTCAACTGTTGCTAACTCAAATGCACCATGTCTAAGGCTCCATGCACACACGTCATGTTGTATTATGTATGCGTGGAAGTCCTTCTCGTCGATGGCCAACCCTGTCCCCATCATTCCGATGATGGTCATAGAGTCACCGAACTTGCCTACATCCCGAAAGATGTCATCACAGCGTGGAAGGGAGAGTTCCCATCTTCCAAAAGTAATGAAGATCTTCTTCCATTGGCGAAGACGGGGATGATACCGACCGCCTTCCACGCCGCGACGACATCTTCCTTCGATGGGCTGCAGCCAGACGTAGAGCTCCAACATTCGGTTTTAGTGTTTTGACACGTCCTTTTCCTGTCGAAGAATCACTGGAATAGGAGATACAGTAGGGTGATTAGATGGTGTGTGATGATCGGCGACGCCATTAGCTGTCAAAATTGTTCGATAAAATAGCTTATGCATCTCAAATTATTTACACGCGCAAGTCCCCCCATTCCATAAAGTTGTTATTGAGAAAACACTCGTAATTCCCCCACTTTTCATAACACGTGTAAAACCCCCAAAAAGCACGCGTGAAAACACTTTTTCCGGCACTGACCCTGGACACGGATATGCCCAGGCCTTGTTTAAACTTGAGCAAAGCGGTCTTGGTGCACGTTTTCACCAATGCGACGGTCGTCTTGACGCTCATCATGGCCGTGTCTCGGCCGTTGCTTTCCACGAGGAGGTGCCGCAGCACGGATCCCGACACACGAGCACGACCATGGGGTACGCGTGCTTGGTGAGACGGCACTGGTGCAGCTGGACACCGACGCTGCAGTTCTCCTTCCACTTGACCAAGTACATGGTGCTGTGGGGGTGTCGGTGATGGAAACGCGCTGGCTCTTGAGGCGACCCCGCACGGTCAGCTTCATGCTGACGCTGTTGGGTTCCAAGTGAGCGATCGGTTGCTCTTCGAGCTCGTTCACGCGTGGCAGCCGGGGCCCAGGGGGTGTTATTGTTGCATTTTGACTTGGCCCCGTTGCGGCTTCGACGTCCCCCTCCTGTTCGTGTGTTGTTGTTGCTGCTGCTGCTGGCAGTCGAGGACATGCCACCTGAGGACGATGCCGTGGGATGGCCGGTCGAACCAGGAGTGGCGTCCCATCCATCGGATGAGTCAGCGGTTGCGACGCGTCACCGCATTCACCTTGATGCTTGGTCGACGTGGTGCATTTGATAAAATCTAGCTTGGGCATCACCGCGTCCGCCGCATCGTCATCGTCGTCGTCCCCAGACTCTAATACGACATCGGTGATGACAGTGCCATCCTCCTCGTCCTCGTCATGCTGTTTGGTGTTGGAACGGCCATGAAGAAGGCTCGTACAGTCACTTTTATTGTAACGTTAATGATGGCAAGGTTACCGACCAAGAATACAGCTTGTCGCATCGTTAAGAAAATGATGGCAAGACTGTCGAACAAGCTAAAGATTGTCGCACCATTAGAAGCCGTAGAGAAAAAACATTTACTTCATGTAGTTTAGTATAGTATACATTTTCGTAGTTAGTAGTTTAAGACGACAATCTAATCACTTTCCAATTTACTCTGTGAAGCTCGCTACCGTTACATTTGGTAGCACTTCCTGGTTCAGTTCGGCAGCAAGGACTTACACCGAGGGGCATAGCTCGGAGGTTGTAAGGTTACTCAATCTAGTTCAGGCAAAGGTTCAGTGGCGACCTTTCATAGCGACTATTGTCGAGTTAGCGATCGCTTAAGTGTTTCTTTTTCCTCGACTGTACTCTCCTTAGTATCCGGCATCAGGGTCGGTAGGGGCAGAGTCGACCGTTGGGAAAGGGACATTTGGTGCGTGTGAAGAGTCACTGCCGACAAAAAAAAAGTAAGCGACTGCGGCGAGTGGGAAAGTCAAAAGCGGAGCGAGCGGCAGCGGCAGTGGCGAGCGAGAAGGTTATCCAGCGAGACCTACGCAGCGAGAACAGCGACTTAAGTAGTAACCGAATTAAGTACGCTCTAGACGAACTTATGTCCAAGCGACCAGCGTTGATGATTAAGTCGGGTGTAATGAATGGCAAATATGTGAAAGTGTTGTTGGATTCTGGAGCAACGCATTCACTTTGTCGAGTTGGGTTGGGAACCAACGTCATTCGCAACAAGTCAGTGCGCATTGCTGCGTATGACAACGTGTGGTCACGTATGACGAATACGTGAGAAGTCATGAAAACGATCAAGGTCGACAAGTTCTCATTTAAGGACACAGTAATGACAAAGTAGGACTTGAAAGACAAGGACTTTGACGCTATCCTGGGTGTACCTTGGTTTGCGAAGCACAATCCAGTTATCGATTGGCGCAAGAGTGAAATCACTTCGATTGAGGAAGAAGTAGAAGCCAATGCGATGTCGACGGAGTCGACTGGATGGATGGTCAAGGTTTGTGAAGTCCAAGCACAAACACAGCAACGACCAGCAGAGATCGAGACTCTTATCGATGAGTTCAAGGACGTCTTTCCGAAAGAACTACCGGATGAACTGCCACCGGAACGAGCGGTTCAGTTTGACGTCACGATGAAGCCAGATGCGAAGCCACAGCATCGTGCACCATTTCGACTGGCAAAAGTGGAGCAAGAGTCGTTGGACA